CGCAGAAGCCTCCAGTCATTGAAGTCCCCTCAGACGGGGAGAGGGTCTCATCAGGTGTGCACGACATCGATACGAAGACCCCCTCTTTCGAGATTGACTCGCCCAAAGACGAGGTCAGCGACTTGGCCGAACCCCAAGATACGACCAAAAATGTCGGCTTTTGGGAAGCACTCACCCGTCGCAATGCGCCGCGAGATCTCGATGCTATCGCAACAGAGCGAAGCGTGTTTGACGATCCCAGCTTGGCGCCCTTCTACCAGCCCCCACCAGAGTACGAGAACGTCCATCGCTTTGATCCAAAGGAGCGATGGACACATCGCGAAGAACGTTCTGTCCGCCGAAAGACAGACTTCAAGATCTTTGCCTGGATTTTGGTCATGTTTTTCGGTCTCAATATCGACAGAGGCAATCTCGGCAATGCTGCGGCAGATAATCTCCTCAAGGACCTGCATATCAACACCAACGACTACAATAACGCCCAGAACATGTATCGTATTGGATTTCTGATTGCTGAAGTTCCGTCTCAAATGATTGGAAAAAGGCTTGGACCTGATCGATGGATCCCCGTCCAGATTATGCTCTGGAGTCTGGCGTCCGGAGGTCAGTTCTTCATGCACAACCGGGCTGGCTTCTTCGCCTGCCGGTTCTTTATCGGTCTCTTCATGGGTGGCTTCATTCCGGACTCCATTCTGTACCTGTCTTACTTTTACAAGAAGACTGAGATGCCCATTCGCCTGGCCCTCTTCTGGTTCGTCGACTCCATGTCCGGTGTCATAGCATCCTTCATGGCCTATGGAATCCTGCACTTGCGCGGCGTTGCAGGGAAGGAAGGATGGCGATGGCTCTTCCTAATCGAGGCTCTTGTTAGTTTCGTCATCGGCGCTGCCAGCTTTCTCTTCCTAGTCCCCGGCCCGACGCAGACGAAAACGTGGTGGAACCCCAAAGGCTACTTCAACGAGCGCGAGGAGAAGATCATCGTCAATCGGGTTCTCCGTGACGACCCTTCTAAGAGCGACATGCATAATCGAGAATCGCTATCTCTGGGCATGCTCTGGAAGAGTCTGAAGGATTACGACCTGTGGCCGGTGTACCTCATTGGCATCCTCTTTGAGATTCCTACTGCGCCGCCAAAGACGTACCTCACGCTGTCTCTCAAGGCTCTCGGCTTCAGTACCTTCAACGTTACTCTGCTCGCAATCCCTGTCACTGTCTTCGCAGCGGTAAACATGTTGTGGGTTACGTTCCTTACTGAAAGGTTCCATCAAATCGCCATCATCGGCCTGCTCTCGCAGGTTTGGGTATTGCCGCTGCTCATCGTCGAATACACTTCCATCGAGAGCCTGTCGCCGTGGGCGCAGTATGCCGTTACTTTCATGATTCTTGGCCAGCCGTCTACACACGCCGCGCACGTCGGATGGTGTTCTAGACTTTCGAACGCCGTTAGGACCAGAGCTATCAGTGCTGCGCTCTACAACATCACCATTCAGCTGTCCGGAATCGCCTCGTCGAATATCTATCGAGAGGATGATAAACCTCATTACCACCGAGGTAATAAGAACTTGATCGCAATCACTGTGGCAACGATATTTGCGTATGCTTTTGCCAAGACATACTACACTCTTCGCAACAAGTCCAAGAGGACGAAATGGAACAGCATGTCGGAAGAGGAGAAGACGGCGTATCTGGCTAATACTAGCGACGAAGGAAACAAGCGTTTAGATTTCTTCTTCGACAGCTAAGTCTTGACGGCTACCCGCCCCCGCCCGACAGGTTCTGCATAGAGTTTGGTTTCGATCATAGGATTTGCATGAAGGCGCAATGCCAGTCGATGGGGTTGAAATATCTATCACACTCAATAATACCTGCTTAGCACCACTTCCATTCAATTGCAAACAATTTTACACCCGTAACGAGACAGAAACTCTTGATCCATACGCTCAGTTTACAACTCCTAAAGTTGATTGATATTTATCACGCCAACGCCAAATACACTACCATAAGTCGTAAAATCTAAGTCCTCTTTTGGGAATCTAGTGTGCCTCGACCTCCTCCAACTGCCGCCTCCAAACTTTGACGGGCATCTCCCCTAGCAACCAGTTCATCGTCTCCTCACGCGCCATCTCGAAGTCCCGCGGCAGAGCAAACTCGTACCTGTGCACGACCGAAGCCAAGAGCACAGCCTGCTCCAAGTATGAAATGTTGCGGCCGATGCATCCTCTCGCGCCGGCGGAGAAGGCCAAGAAGTACGGCTGCAGCTCCTTGCCCTTGTCGCCAAGCCACCTGTCCGGCACGTACTTATCGGCGTCGGGGAAGACGGTCTCGTCGCGGTGGGCGACGACACCCGACATGCTGACAGTAGTATTGCCTGGCACCCACTCGCCCATGATGTACATGCCTTCCGGGGGCGTCTTGCGAGGTAGGCCTTGCGGTGTGGGAGGGAAAAGGCGGAGGGACTCGTCGAGGCAGGCGCGGAGGTAGGGGAGGTGCTTCACCTTGTCGTAAGGTGCGACAATCTCATCTGCGTCAAGGACGCTGTCAACTTCTTCACGGAGAAGCTGTAGGTATTTCGGGTTCTTGAGGAGCTGGTAAAGCACGTTTGTGACGGCGATGGCGGTGGTCACGCTGCCAGCGTTCATCATGATGTTGATCTCTGCGACGATTTCGCCCCACTCAAGGTTGTTGGCCTCGCCGTTCTTGTTCTCCATCAGAGCCTGAAAAAAGTCATCAAGCTTCTCGTCGCCCTTGTTGTAACGCTGAAGGCGCTTGTGGGCGAGCTCGAGCACGATGCCGTCCCAGCCCTTGGATGCCTCGGTCATTTGGCGGTAGCGGGGGATGATGTTGGAGAGCTTGTCAATGAGCTTGTAGTTGTCGTAGCTCCAGACGAGGAGGGACTGTTTCCGGGCAGTGGGGTAGAGCGAGTCGCGGAGGGGGACCTCCCAGGTTGAGCCGTCTTTACGGCGGGCGAGAACACGGTCGTGGCCGCGGTCAAGCAGGCCGAGACGCTCGGAGAGACCAATGTCGGCGATGGCGTCGAGGGTGAAGAAGTTGCCCCATTTGCGGTAGTCGACGGTCAAATCCTCTGGCTTGGGGAACATTTGGCCCTTGGGGAGGGGGTCGGTGCAGCGCTGGTCGAGTTGCTTGAACAGTCTCTCGACCTTGTCTGCGACCTTGTGTTCCCATCCCTCGAGGTTCTTCAGGGCGTAGGCGGAGGACAAGACCTTACGCTTCTTTGCGTGGTCATGTTTGTCGACCACATCGGCGAGGTGGTAGTGGGATCCGGCCGTGAGGACGTAGGACTCATCCTTGATGCAAGGGGTTCCATGACCGTAGATGTCCTTGATGGCGCGGACATCACTGAAAGAGAGGGTATTGGGACCAGTGCGGAGGATCGGGCCCTTCTCCCGGTGGAGGTTGACGAGATGAGTTGATCGAGCACCGGTGCGGGCGAGGATCATGAAGGGAATGTTGTATACGCCGGAAAATGTACTCAAGTTTTCAAACTTGCGCATGCCTGAGCCATGTTATTAGTGGCTGCGAATAATGGGCCCAGGGCTGAAGGAAGCTCACCTTTTGTGTCCTTGAAGTATACGAACATTGGGTAAACGATGAAATAAGACAGGGCAACGAAGAGAAAGCCCGCGGCATATGGCGCCTGCGAGGAGGAAGAGAATGTTTCGAGTGTCATGTTGCTAGCTAGATCCCAAGAGATCTTGTGGGATAAAAAGGCAAACAGTGGGTTCGAAGAATGAAGAGCTTTTGATCAGGGCCTACTCTATGCTGCTGAAAGAAAGGAAGTCGTCTTCAACTAAATAACCATCCGCGTAGTGGAACACTAATCAGCCACAGAAGTCACGAGAATGGATAAAATCGAGCGTAAATCAATGCCCACTTGGTTTGGCCCGGCTTTCAAGAAAGGAAAATCTCGCCGCGACATCACATTCGCTCGCGGCTTGCAACCGATAGCCCATCCCTCCATTAGCTACGACATATTCTCCGCACCTCTGCACGTCACAAACCTCAGCCTGCCCCCCATTTCGTCTGAGCTGTCAATAAGAATAGCTCATGAGACTTTCAGAGGATCCCGGATAGGAAAGAGGGGCGCGAAGCCGGGGACGGCGGGCGGGTTCTGCCCAAGGCTGGGACAGGGACGGGACTAACTCGCTCAGACCAAGACAAGCAGAAGCCAAGTCCCGCGGGGAAAACGCAGTGTGCAACATACGCATGGCTGATGGGTAACTGCTGCACCGTTGGTTAGTTCTGCATTGTAGTGACAGATCTTGGGGTTATCTCGGGGTCCGTCACATACCTTCCACAGAATCCTTACGCGGGAGAGATAAAATCTTCCTGCTGGGCTGGACCCGCGATCTGAGGGGTTCTCGTCTGGATGCGGCAACTTTCACCGCGGGAGAGACCTCAAAGTCGAAATGGGGCATGCCAAGAGGCACTCGGTGTTCCAGCCGACGATGGCGGAGGCATCAAGAGGCTGGGGCGAAGTTTGGGGAAATACGGGGTCCTCTTCGGTAATCTCGCAGTTTGTTGGATGGACATCTCGATCCCGCGGGATAAGTCGCCTATATTAGTTTAGACTGCATCACATTTCGCCCTGCCAGCTGTGCCAGCTTGCTTCTTCGTGTTCCCTCCCCGCGGGGAAGTGGATTCGTTCCCCAACTTTCTCTATTCCAAAATCTGCGTCCGTCTCAAGTTGGCAATGCTCCCCGCACCTTGTGGGGGCGGCGACTTGCCTCTTAGAGTTGGTTTAGGAAATTCTTTGGCGCAATGCAGGTTGACGGCACTAGGTGTGTTGGTAGCTGTAGTTCACATGTTGTACGGTTTAGGAATCTTCCACGATACTCAGAAGAAGTCTCGGGTCGCATTTAACATCTTGAAACTCGCCGTTCTCTTGCCACAGAGATAGAACTTGGGCAAGCTCATTGAGACTGTATCATATTCGACGCTGGCAGTTCAATCACCTTCATTGCGCTTCTGATTCTCATCTCATCATGTCTCTTCCAGTTGCTCTGCCAGAGAGCACGCTGAAGCTCCTCAGCCAGCTCGCGCCAGGAACAGTCGCAGATACAGCCGCTCTTGCTGCTGCCGGTCTTCTGTCTGCCGCATATGTCCTGCGCGGATACGCCTGGGACAGGCCGGATCCGTACAACTACATCTGGTACGAGAAGCCTCAACAAGGCGCCGACGGCAATGCCGCGAACAAGAAGTCAAAGAACATTGCTGAGAGGCTAGAAGAGCTCGTAAGTCAAGCCGGAACTCCTCTTCTTGCTCTATCTTTTACTGACAGTCTCATGTCCAGGGCAAAGATGTCGTCGTCTTCTGGGGCTCGCAATCCGGCACCGCAGAGGGCTTCGCGAACCGCCTCGCTCGCGAGCTGCACCAGCGCTTCCATCTCAACACCATGTCAGCAGACCTCTCAGACTACGACGCCGACACCATCACACAAATTCCCCAGACTAAGCTGGCCATCTTCATCATCTCCACCTATGGCGAGGGAGACCCCAGCGATAACGCCAGCTTGTTCTGGGACTGGTTGACCAAGCTGCAAGACAAGCCCCTTACATCGCTGCGCTACGCAGCCTTTGGTCTGGGCAACAGCAATTACAGATACTACAACAAGGTCGTCGACGTCGTCGATAAGGCCCTGGTAGACTGTGGCGCCTCGCGATTGGCGCCCGTCGGCCGCGCAGACGATGCGGTCGGGGCTACAGAGGAGGACTTCCTTTCATGGAAGGATGACTTGCACAAGGTCTTCCGCGATGAACTGAAGCTGCAGGAACACGAAGTTGTTCACGAGCCGTCGCTGGCCGTCGTCGAGGATGGGTCCCTGGAGCCGCAGGATCTTCACATTGGCGAGCCAGTACACCTGATTGAGGGCTCTGGAAAGTCAACAGCAAACTCAGCCATCAAGGGCTTGAAGATCAAAAATGCGCGCAGCTTATTCTCCTCTCCTGGACGCAGCTGTCTTCATCTGGACCTCGATCTAGGAAACAGCTCCCAAATCACATACAAGACCGGCGATCATCTTGCCGTCTGGCCCATCAACCCCGACCAAGAAGTTGAGCGTCTCCTTAATGTGCTCGGTCTTTCAGAGCGCAGAAGCATCCCTATCAGCATTAACGCCCTTGACGCCGCCGTTAAGGTCAGAATTCCCACGCCGACGAATGTCGAGACATTGTTCAGATACTACCTCGAGATCTGCGCCGCAGTTCCCAGAGATGCCGTCCGAGGCCTTGCACAGTTTGCGCCCTCTCCCGCATCAAAGGAAATTCTACTGAACCTAGGACGAGACAAGGATAACTACGCCGCTTTCCTCGCATCGAATCATCTGACCATCGGCAAGCTTCTGGAATACGCAGCCAAGGCCGATGGCAACGCGACATCGTCTGCATGGTCGGGAATTCCCCTGTCATACCTCATCGAGACCTTGCCTAGATCCCAGCCGCGTTACTACTCCATTTCTTCTTCTAGCGTCGTTTCTCCCAAGGCACCCAGCATCACCGTTGCCGTATCTGATACCCCCTTGTCCGCTTCCCCAACCACAGCCATCCCTGGTCTGACGACGAACTACCTTCAGTCGCTCTCCAACTCGCTGCAAGACTCGCAGGCAACGCAACAGACCGAGGGTCTCAGCTATGCCCTGTCAGGCCCCTCGAACGCACTTGAGGGCGGCCTTGTTTACGCTCACATCCGCCGCTCCAAGTTCAAGCTTCCCATGCTCTCCTCGCACCCACTCGTCATGGTCGCTGCTGGCACGGGTCTGGCACCGTTCCGGGCCTTTATCATGGAACGTCTCCGCCTACAGTCTGTCGGTAAGGACATCGGGCAGATGATCCTCTTCTTCGGATGTCAGCGCCCCGACGACGACTACATCTATAAGGAGGAGCTCGAGCAGATGGAGAAGGACCTCGGTGGCAAGCTCAAGATCGTGACGGCCTTCTCACGGCAAGAGGGCGCGAAGAAGACATACGTCCAGGACAGGGTACGTCAGTTGGGCGCCGAGGTTTTGGGGCTTTTGGAGGAGAGTGCCAGTTTGTACATGTGCGGACGGGCGAGCATGGCTAGGGAGGTCGGAAAAACTTTGGGTGATATTGTGAGGGCGGATAAGGGCTGGAGTGATGCCCAAGTCAAGGACTGGAGCGAAGGACTCAAGAGAAATCGCAAGTGGCAAGAAGACGTTTGGGGATAGATGTGGCTTGCTGTGGTCTTGTGAGAATGATTAGATTGGGAATTGCTATGATTTAGCGTTGCTTGCGACTTTGAAAGACAATGATAGATGTTTTGAGAAATGAAGAACTCCTCTTGATACACTACTTGTGCTCACATATCATTTCGACGCGACGATTTTTGGCACGTTTCTCAATGGACTATCCACACTCATGCGGAACCTATCGAATAAACCCCGATGTGCCAAGTGTTGAAAGTTGGGCTTTCTGTCATTTTTCAATACAGCGCACCTCAATGAATCATTATATGCCATCGCTTCATATCCTCGCCTTTTACTTGCCGAATTCAGCTTTTGACTATGTGAGGCCATGCTGCACGTAGTCTTCGTCACTAAGCGTATTTCGCGAATTTATTTCCCAATTGGACTTCCAAGGATATAAAAATACGATTTCCAATTCCGTTGGATCCCGAGTTTAACAAATCTCACCTAAAACAACCATGGTGATATGAGCCATGCTTGCGCGTAGGTTCACTCGAAGGGACCATGCAGTGTCACACACACCTCAACCCGGTGTTAAGTAACGCAGACCCGCCGCGGGACCTGCATGTCTAGCCATCTACATGAACTTCTTCCCAACTTCTTCAGGAGCAAGAATCATTCAAGTAGAGGTTGCGAAACTCCGAGAAGACGCTGTGGACTTGGCATGAAGCGGGATGCGCGCGATGCGAGAGATGGCCTCGGATATCTGTTGCTCTCGCAGCAAAAGTGAAGGCTGCCCGGCGACTTCTCAGCTTTTTCACTCGCAAGCCACCTAGCGACGAAGATGAACGGATGAAGGATGCTATTGCAGGTAGATGCCTACGTCAATACGCATCTCATCAATACTGGAGATGCAAAACGTGGTACTTCCCCACGTTTTCATAATCCGCGGGCACCAATTTGGTCCCAAAGTCCACTTTGACATGCCGGTTTCGAAACATGACAGGCGGAGATCGGACTGGGCGCTGGAGGCACTAGTCCCGCGACGTTCAAGTCGTGCGCTGAATCCGAGCTGAATCATAGTCACCAACTTGGGAAATACATATTCGCGACTCTTCATCAGTGATCAATCCCTACCGCTCCGTTGGTCATCATGCCGGCCGCGTGGAGGAATGTGGAACAAGCTTTGGCTATTGGTGTCCACACCATGTACAAATCCCGCGGAGTATGTTCCCTCTTTGAGGGGGTCAATCCCACACATGCGAGTGCCTGAGTCAGTGGAGACAGCTGCAATTGGCTAGGAAGATCAAGGCTGGGCTGCGAGCAACCTTCACTCCACCATCCCTTCTGCTCATCTACCGACGGCTCGAACCCGCGGGCTAAGCGTCTCTACTTTCTACGCAGTATCCGTACGGATACACTGCTGGACGTCCCGGCACTATTCGGCTGCGCACAATCCAATCGGAGTGTCAAGATTGATAATGAGTATTGGTAGCGGAGTTCACCCCGTGGAGTAACTTGCGTCAAAAACCCGGGGGAGAAGAGGAGTACGCCATCCGAGCCTGGGGCTCCCCACTGGGCCCCATCAGAACATTCCAACTTTCAACCGACAGCATGTTCTTCGTCTGGGGTATTGTTTTATCTGCAATATTTACAATGACATCACTCTTTGAAGAACCGGCTTAGACCCGCCTGCGGACCTGGGGTACACCGGCAGTAAACTGTATGGTCTTCGTCGATCGGAGGGCCTCGTGACTCTGTGAATCCTTTGAGGAATGTTCTGGAAATACGGCGGTTGTACTATTCACTGTAACGAGCCTCGTGGGCGGAAGTGAGATGTTCCCTAGAAATCAACAAAACCACTAGACGGTACCATGATTATGGCTCTCCCTTGAACCGACTGTAACACCAAACATGAGATAACTCACGGAAACAACGCTGACAGAAGACCAAGGTCGGCCGGAAATCAGGACCAAGAGAAACTAGTACTCAATCACCCCTGTATAAACACGTTAAAGTGATACCCGCGGGGCTTTTTTACTGCATTGGGGATGGTCTGCTGAGGGATTCCCCGCGTATCCCGCACCCGGAGGTACCCCAGACAACCCACCCCCGCAATTATCTCGACGTACGCTGCGGATACACACGCTCAACACTGATCAGGTGTTTGAGGAGAGAATCCCGCGAGATGGGAAATAAGGGGGCACTGATTGTGTCTGTTGTGTTTCTACCATGGACTCGGTATACGTCCCAAGGTAGTAAGGCTAGGCTAGCTGAAAGTTTCACGGGGAAAACATAGACTAAGAGACGCTGTGCCGGTTTCCGTCTGATTCAATGACTGGGCTGAACTCGGGGATTCAAACGAAGAAAAAAAAGCGCGTGCCTTCGAAGCTTCTCCTCATACCACGACTCTTTTGGGCAATTTAAGCCCGCGACTCCACCTTGGCGCGTGTCTACTTGCTTGCAATCCCCTTACAATTCCTAGTAGCCTTCCGTCGGCAAGATAGAGTCGTTGACTCGTTTTCTATATAACTACTAAGTCTGTTCTCTTTTTCTCGTCTGAATTTCTGCAGCCCAGCCTCCTCTTTGAGTTTCCCCAATCGGCCTCAGCCCTCATCCGATCCAACTCCCACCATCAATCAATATTTAAGCTTTTGCTTCCATTGAAGTGCTGTTGCTCATCTTCTCTATCGAGGTCGGCTCGAACTTGCAGTTGCTCGACAATGTCGCAAACCACGCCCGACTCCGAGAGCAAGGCTCTATCGAGGGAAGCTTCTCTCGATAAGATGAAGCTCGATGGAACTACATCTCACGTCGAGCAGACGCAGCACGTTGACTTTGACGATTCTATTGAGGATACCGAGCCGTCTAAGGCGGTGTGGCTGATCACCTTCACCGTCGCCATGGGCGGTTTCTTGTTTGGTGAGCCGCTCCCCAGCCCGAGCTGCAAGGATCGATCAAACCTACGGGAAGCGAATAGCTTTACTAATTGAATTTCGTGATGAATAGGTTACGACACCGGTGTGATCTCGGCCGTTCTCGTCAGTCTCAAAAGTGATCTCGGACACGAATTGGATTCGCACGAACAGGAGTTGATCACGTCCATTACATCTGGTGGCGCGTTGATCGGTGCCGTGATCGCTGGTCTTCCGGCCGATAGATACGGGCGAAAGCTCGGCATCTATATCGGCTGCGTTCTCTTCCTCGTCGGTACAATCATTCAAGCTGCTGCGTTCTCTGTGGCGCAAATGACCGTCGGACGCTTCGTTGTCGGTTTGGGAGTCGGTTCTGCGGCTATGATTATCGTAAGTGACCATGAAGCTCCCTTTTCTTGTCAGCAGCTCGTTCCAGGTTGCAGTCGTCGATGGGCTTCGATATCTGACTAACTGAACAATAGCCTCTCTACATTGGCGAGCTCGCACCCGCCAAACACCGCGGCCGCATGATCGCGTTCGACAACATGAGCGTAACTCTCGGGCAACTCATCTCCTACGCTCTCGGCGCCGGCTTTACAGAATTACCCCACGGATGGCGCTACATGGTCGCCGTCGGCGGCGTCCCGCCCATTATCCTCGCGTTCCTTCTGCCCATGTGCCCTGAGTCGCCCCGACAGCTCATCTCTCACGGAAAGCTCGAGGAGGCCACGCGCGTCATCAAGCGTGTCTACCCTCATGCGACGGAAGAACAGGTCAACGCCAAGATCGGACACATGACGTGGGTGGTCGAGGTGGAGGCACAGGCTACGTCTGGCTCGCTGTGGGACCGCTTCAAGGAGTTGCATGTTGTGCCTGCCAACTTCCGCGCCCTTGTTACCGCGTGCGCTATCATGGCCAGTAAGTTTTCTCGGATCTGCGTTCTCCTTACGAATACCGGGAAAAGGGCAACTTTATGAATAGGGACTGACATCGCTTAGTAAGTCAGCTTGGAGGCTTCAACACACTCATGTACTACAGCGCCCGTTTATTTGGGCTCGTTGGATTCGACAAGCCAGTCGCTGTGTCCATCGTCGTCGGTGCCACCAACTTTGTCTTCTCGCTGGTCAACCTGTTCATCATAGATAAACTCGGCCGACGTCGCATTCTCCTCGTCACGGTCGCCGGAATGGTAAGTCTCTCTTATTTCAAAACGCTGGGCTTCTCAGCAAGTCTGTGATCGCCTAAAAGCTAACTACTACTCCTCCAGTCCATCAGCATGGTTGTTGCCGCCATCGCCTTCCACTGGATCCCAGTTTCACCCGATCTCAAGATTCAGACCACCTCAGTAAACTGGGCCGGCATTCTTGTCCTCGTGACAATCATCGTCTACGTCGCCTGCTTCGCTGGCGGTGTCGCTACTATCGCCTGGGTCGGCACTGAGCTCCTGCCCCTTGAGGTCCGTGCCCTCGGCACCATGATGAACACAGTCACTTGCTGGGGCTGCAATATCATCATCGCATCTACTTTCCTGTCCATGATGAAGGGTATGACGCCTAGCGGTGCGTTTGGTTTCTACGCGGCAATCTGCTTCTTTGGATGGGTGTTTGTCGTCTTCTGTTATCCCGAGGCCAACGGCTTGCCGCTCGAGGAGGTCAGGCAGATCTTCTCTACCGGGTTTGGTGTCAAGAAGGCGAATGAGTTGCAAAGACTTCGCAAGATGGGGGCTGGCTCGGCTTAAGTCCTTCTTAGAAAGGTTTAGCCTCTTCATTGAACGTATTGTTGCGTACAGCCAAGCGACGATTGCATAATGAGGCATGATTAATAAATCTATCAGAAACTTTGAGTTGACGGTCATTATGATGATGTAAAAGGCCATGAATCTTCGCCAGCAGTCTCTATTAAACTTCCACTTCCATGTTTCAGGAAATGAAGACACTCAGGGGCGGTCCAAAATAACTCTCTCGCACTCCGCCAAGATCAACAACGAGCTTTTCGAAAATCAAGTTCGAGTGCTTGAAACGGATTGTTACGCTGTGCTCCCCAACTCCAAGCTCATTATCGCCTAGATCATGCTTCCGTAACCAAGCACAGTTCTGCACGGCATGAAACCAACCGTCAGGGAGATCA